TATAATAACTATGTATGGTGTAATAAATAACTGTGTATGTACTACATTTATTGGGGTGTTGGGGGTGGGGTTGGGGAGCAGGATGAAAAAGGTGAAGGAATTAAGAAATACGAATGGGTAGTTACAAAATAGTCATGGGGATGTAAAGTAAGCATAAGGAATATAATCAATAATATGGTAATAACTATGTTTAGTGCCAGATGGGGTAATAGACTAGTCAGGGGATCATTACTTAAATTATACAAATGTCTAACCATATGCTGTACATCTGAAATTAATATAAAATAATATTGAATATCAAAAAAAACCTTATGAAGTTAACATTGGTGAAGTACTGTTAATTAAACTAAAGACTTTATTTGTAGTTCCTAATTTTTCTACTATGTACTCTTTTTCTGTTTCAGGATCCCACCCAAGAGATCACGTCACATTTAGGTTCCTGTGCCATTTTGACACATTAATTGTACATTAACTTTTCACATATGCACTTTCCACCTTAAATAGGGCCCTTAACACATCAACTATACATATTCTGCTACAAGAAGCTTTCTATCTGGTTCCTAAACCCTACTTTCTTTGCCATCTTTCAACATGTTGCTTTTAAAACATCACCATCCCACTCGTAAATCTTCAACCTTGTTCTAAGAGAAAAGCCAAAGGTGTTTGAAGACTATCAGAGAATCTCCCCATCTAGTCCCAAGCTGCCCTCAGGTGTACTGGCCTGGGCACTGGACCCCTCCTCCAACAAACCTTTTGCTTTCTACTTCCAGATCTTTACTTATATTATTTACATTATCTTAGTATTCTTTATATTATTTTTATATCATATCATTTTCCCTTGCCCATGAAGTCGTATCTGCACACCTCAGCTAGCAGAGAGCACTCCCTCCTTTTTCCCCTCTAGAAAATTCATCTGACATTGCTTGTTATCATTTCATGTCTCTATCCTACTTCCCCAACCAGACCATGAACTTCTCTGGAGAACTGTCTTATCTGTAGAATTATATCTCTACAATGTATTGCACAGTTTAGTTTAATAACTATGTACTGATTAGGCTGTTGAAAGCTTCAATTCTGATTATATAAAAAAAAATGGCGGCTTCCCATTTCTGGAACAACATGTAAGGAGTTTGGAAATCACCGCTCTCTTAACAAGAAAAAGCCACACAAATTGAAAATTAACAGCTTTACTCAGATCAGTCAGAGAATTGAGGTCACAGAGAAAACCGCTGCCACAAAAATTAGAGAGACAGACTATTAGAGTGACAGTGAATCACAACTAACTAGAGCAGACGCTTGTGCAGGAACTGGAGGCAGAGCCAGGGCAGGAAAATCTAAACATGAATGGCTGAATCACTGGAGGATCCACGTGCACAAGCCTGAGAGTTAAAAATAATGGCTCATGGCTCATTACTAATCGTGCCCTTACCATGTTCCCAGAACTGTTCCATGCATGTTACAACTAACAGCTTACAAGTATTTAACTCTTACAATAGCCTCTTGAGGAGCCTATTATACAGATAGGACAGCTGAGGCACAGGGAAGTCCAGTGAGTTGCTTAATGTCATTTGGCTATTAAATGGCAGAGCCAAGATCTAAATCCAGGTGACCTTGCTCCAGAGCCTGAGTTCCTACTAATCGCACTATTGTTGCCTTATACTGGATACCGATAGCCCATCACGCAAGGTCACCTAAGCCAGTCATGTGTCAGGGGACACTTGTGGACACTGGAAAAACCTGGGACAAGAGACCCTGTCTACTCTCTCCAAGAAACACTCAGGAACTGTCACCATTGTTATTCACTCTCCCCCATGACCCTAGCCCAGCGCTTCTACACATGTCCCCGTCACCCCTACTGCCACATTCATAAGGTTTATTCTCTTTCATGCTGCGGTAATTCTAAAGGACACCATAAAGAGTCTCTATGTCAAACTTTCTTCTAATTTCATTCTTTAAAGCTTATATGACGTGCTTTGTGCTCAGCGTTATATCCCTCCCAGGACAACTGTAGCCTAAAATATTGTGATCAGTGATGAATATGCATTCTGCAGGTAAGGTGTATTGCTAGTAATTAAACAGTATTAATTCCATCAGCTCTGATTTATTCTGCTCTCTCAGTAATGAAGCTCAGTATTCTATTTTCTTTCTGCAGAGCACCGAGCAATCGAATTGGTGTTTAAGGATTATCATGTAAATCTACTTTTCAGTCAGTCAATGTTGGGAAATTTTTTCAATATATTACAAATGTAGTCATTATTCCCTCGTTCATAAAAATAATTAAAAGGTACAGGCCGAACACACATTCCCAGAGCACAGAAGCCTGACTGGCACTCCGCTGCCAAATACCAAGGTTGCCAGCTTTTTACTTTATGGGTTTCCTAATAAGAACGCATACCTTCTCATTCAATAAAGGGCTGAGGGGGACATTTTCTGATGGTTTTCGCAGGAGTAAGTTAAAGCCCTGCGCATCAAGATGAAAATGGGCTACTGTTATTTCTGCATGTTTTTAGCAACTCAGAAATGACTTGCCCTAAAATAAAAACTATCAAAAAACAAGTATTTAAGCATTCCCCGGGATGTCAATAACATGTGTTCATGTTCCATTAAAAAAAAAAAAATCAAGGAAGGGAGGTAGAGAGAAAAAAAAGTACAAGGAGATCCAATCCATCATTGTGATATTCAAGTTTCTCCTTAGATAAAACAGACATAAAACATGGGTTTTACAAGCCTCAGATGACCTTCAAGACATCTAAGTACAGTATCTATGGATTTTTAAGTATAATTAACAACTCCTGTTTTCCCATTTAAAGAATCCAAGTTGTGTTTCCTTGACAGGCCACAGCCAATCAATCTCATTTTCAAATGCTAATACAAGCAATTAAAAATAACATTAATTAAAATACGACAGAGGCTGTTAGGTTTTTGGCTGGTGGATCTTTTTTTTTTCTTTTTTTTTTCCTTCTTCACCTTCACCTCATGGCAATTCTAATTTACTGGACTAATTAGGGACGCACCATTGCTTTTACCCATCTCTGGGATGAAGGGCTGGCCTTTAAGGCCACCACACTGGGAGGAAGCTTATGTCACCTGGTAGACCCAATGTGACAGGTCCTTTTATTTACAGCGCAGACATTGATTTCCTGGTTTTGGTAACCAAAACACAGTGTTGTTGTAAAACTTGTCAATATGCCCTGTAGGATAAGTGATAGTCAAAGCAACATCCTAATTAAAAGGAAAACTTGGTTGTCTTGCAAGATAATATAAGAGGGCACATAAATTGTAAATAAGATACATGGTAAAAATGAAAAAGACAAGCTGGATAGGAGAGGAATGAAATAAGATTTGGAAATGTGCTTTTTAAATGAACACAAATTGTGAGATAATGTCTCATCGAACAATAAAAATAACAAACCAGTGGCAAAGATGAAATAGAATTTCCTATGTAGACCATTTTAATCTCCATATAATTTTCCCTTGTGCATTTATTGAACTACTACAGCCATTTCTTTCTTACTCTGTCCAAAGTTACCAAGACTGTTCTTTGCTGTAAATAATTCCCTGAATATGAACATGAAAATGATTCAGAAATTGCCCACAGTTAAAAACAAAAAGCGGCATAGCATCTGCTGAGGGTCAAAAAAACCTTATGAGAATGGCAAACTATGTATGTGCAGTTTCTTCAAGCAAGCAGACTGAGGATACAGAAAACCACCTTCTCTACTTCCTCCTGCCTAAGGTAAGTCCACGCCACTGCTGCTGTTTTCCTCTATTGAAAAAATGCAGAGGGGAATTCCATGACACCCTGCCCCACGGTGTGCTGGACAGAGAACAGAGCTGATGCCAAAGAAGTGTTGGGTCCAGGAAACATGTGTTGATGTGATTGCAGGAAGATGTACATCAAGGTGACCAAAGTTTCTCAGTCTGCAAAAGGGGGGTGATAATATGTACCTCCTAGCTTCAAGCCTGATACACAAATGAGTATTTAGTAAATACTACTTAAAAATGGACGTGAGGGTCGCAATTCCACATGTGAGAGGTTTGCTGGAGTGGAGATATGAAGTCCATAGAGAGCCCTACATCTCCTCCAGGAGATGCTCAGTAAAATGTCCAACTCCACTCAACCCCGTATGCATCTCAGACACTTCAGCTACCAGTGCAACGAATCATCCCCATTGCTTACATTCATGTGGGTCAATCAATTGATGTATGCAGTTCATGCGTGTCATCCATGTTCTTTTTGCAGTTTACATTTTTTTTTAAAGATTTTTATTGGGGAATTGGGGGGATGGGAACAGTGCTGGGGAATTGGGGAAAGGGGAACAGACAAGTTGCTGTCGTTTTGTTCTTCAATCTAGTTGTGGAGGATGTTGCTTCACTGGCCCAAGTTGGCACCATCATTGCGCCCCTCTCTGGCGAGGCAGATCAGTCGCCGGCTTCTGGACGGCCACTCACTGCGGCTGCTGGCCGCTCACGCTGGCTGCTGGCCACACACGGTAGCCCATGGCAATCCACTGCCACAGGGACTGCAGCCCACGCCGTCTCCGGCGACTCATGGCAGCCCAGCTCCAGGTTGAGCTGTTGTTCAGCATCTTAGCTGTGGAGGGCAGTGTCACTGGCCCTCATATGTGGGATCCGAACCGGGGCCCTCTGGCATCCCAAGCGAGTTCTTAACCATCGCGCCACTCGGCCGGCCCGCAGTTTACATTTTTTAAAATACCCAAAAGTAGAGACCATGCCCTTGCTTATTATTTTGCTTTTCAATTGATGTCACTGTGGAGTGAGAATCCAGTTTTTGATAAACACCAACACTCAAATACTGTTTCTGTCACTTACGGTTTCATTTGTTGCAATTAATTTATTATTTTTCGAAAGTTCATCAGGCAAGAGAAAGATGTACTTGCTCATGCATAGATAAAATATATGCCAAATACATCAACAAATCCATTTTATTAAATAGGTTATCAATTAACCCCTTTGGTGAATGGAGTGCATAGCTGTATAATGTGACTAACATTAATTTTGATGTTTTTATATTAGATTAAATAGTGGAAAAATTATGGCCCACATGACAATGAATCTAATAGCAAACCATAGCTTACATAAACAGAAAAAAATAAGTTCTTAAACAAATATTCTTATAAGTGGTATTCTGTTAGAGTTGCAAATCATGAATATACTGTTTATAAATTTTGCATCATTTTGTTCTAGGAAAATTTTAAGGATTTAAATGGAAGTTTCTAAGTCTATCTGATTTCTTAATATAAAAATCAATTTCAGTGGTTTACTGTTCTATTTGTTTTAAAGCCTCATTGATCCAAATGCAAATACAGTAAAATTCATCATTAAATCCATCCCTGGGTATTAACTATTCATACTTCACAATCACGGATCACAAAGTAGGACCTGTTGATTACAAAGGCAACTTGAAATTGTCTGGGGGAATCACCAAAGCAGATTTCCTGTCCAAAAGCTGAGGCCTCGTCTCCCGGTGATACCGCCCAGCCATCCTTCCTACAGATGGCCCTCCAGCCCGTTGTTTCGGATGAGCTTTGCATACTCCTTGGCTGACGTGTACGGGACCCGGGGTCTTGCTGGATTTTCAAAATCAACGTGGAAGAGACCAAACCGCATGCTGTACCCCTGGTTCCACTCAAAGTTATCCAGAAGAGACCACACATAATATCCTTTAAGATTGACTTTATCAAGTTGGATAGCTGAAATTTAAAAAGAGAAAAAAAGGAAAGGAACAATTACCATTTTGGGGAAGGTATTATGAAAGCACAGACAAAATCATTGATGACCAGTGTGGGCCTGTTTCCCCTGCAGGGAATCACAGTGGGAACAGGGGAAAAGACCTCTCAGTCCCCTGTCCCAATTTTCTCTTTTAATCAAGCAGCGGCTTCAATACAGACATTCAATTACATATTATTGTAATTACTTGGTTAGTTGTTCATTTTGACATCAGTTTTATTTATTCATTCATTTACTCAGTATGCATCTTTTCAATATCTACTGCTTTTCAGATACAAAGAAACACACACACACACACACACACACACCACACACACACGCGCGCACAC